AGATGACAACGCAGAGCCCCTCTGCTCTAAGGGTCCCTTGCTGGCTCTGCGGCCCTGGTCCGGGCAAGCACAGCTACTCTGTATGGTTTTCCTCCTCTCCCTGGAAAAGCAGAAGTGGTTCTCAGAGGTTGGGGGGTGATGCAGAGAATGGAAGTGGCACTGGGTGAGCCTTGGAGAAAGGAGAGGCCCCCAGACCGTGAGTTCAGTGGGCAACGGGGTTTGGGGGAAGGGAGGATGGCTAATCGACCTGAGACCTATCCACTTAGGCCATACCCTGGACCCTCTGGCCCACACACTACTGAACATATGGACCGATTGATGGCCAAGGACTTAGCCAAGGCCACACAGCCGGGCAGCTGTTGGCTGGCACCAAGCCCCGTATCTCCTGTTTCACCATGAATGCCCACTTTCTCTACTCTGCCTTGCCCATGTCTTCTCTTTAGTTACCTGCAAAGCAGAGGAGCTGTGCAGGTGCTGGTTAGTTCCTCAGCAGTAAGAATATCGCTAGTAGTAGTTAACATTTATTGGGGGCTTACTCTGTGCCAGGCACAGGCATCGGGGATTGCAAACTCAAATCCCTGAATGGCAGGGCAAGTAAGGCCACTGAGTGAGGTGGGCCAGGCAGGGACTACGGTGGCCTAGAGGGTCAAGGCTCTGGCTCAGCAGGGGATGGCAACCACTCAGCACCATGATGGCCTGCCTAGTATTGCCAGATATTACTGTTTTAAAGGAAAGCCGGATATTTGAATTTTTATATAGCATTTCCCAGTTTAAGAAAATTTTAAACTAATTCACAATTCAGAAAAACAAAATACTCTGTGGGCAAATGGAATCATACCTGTGGGACAGTTTGCAAAATCTGCTTATTTTCTCATTTACCCCTGACACACATCCTATAAGGGAGCCCTTGCCCCTTGTTGTACAGATGGGGCAAGCCAAGCTCTTCAAGAGCGTGAATCACCTACTCAAGGTCATCTAGCCAAGCCACATAGTTGGGGTCTGCCTGACTCCTAAGGCTTGCTCCTTACGTTTGATGGCCTCTCAGATGGGTAAGAACCCTGTGTTCAGACACAGCCAGAACTGGTACAGTGACAGAACACCTCCAGGGACAGCAAAGCGTCAGTCAGAGAATTCAGTGTAGCAGTGAGGGATCATTCGATACCAATGTGATGTTGCAGACATAAAGCCCCACCTCCCTCTGCCAGAACTCAACAATGGATGTCTCTGTGCCCCTTAATAAAATTAAGTCACCACAGAATCATTTCTCCCAATGATGCAGTCATGATGATGGGATGTTCTTGTTTGGAGATTTTTTTTTTGAAAAAAAAATTTTTTTTAAACGTAAGAATGTATGCTTTGGCGAGGTGATGTATGTGGAATAAATAGGCTTGAATTATTTGTGTTGTTTGTCAAACTTCTTAATGAGCATGTGGTGCAGGTTCATGTAAATAATTCTGACTCTCCCCCTGAACTATGAGCTCCAGGTATCAGAAATGAGGTCTGTTTTGTGTCCACCTGTCTCCCCAGCACCTAGCACAATGTCTGACACAATTGCTCAATAAATATCTGTGGATTGAATGTGGTTCAAGAAATGAATTGACTTGTCCAAGGTCACACAGACTGCGGTTCCCATTTATATCCACCTGATTCAGAAGCTCTTCCTATCACTTCTCCACAATCCTGACTCCTGGAAAAACTCAAGGGAAAGATATCTCCACACTGAGGATGATGTTGGGTCCAGGAGCTTCCACCCCTTTGGACTCCTCTAGAATTAGATGTTAGTGGAGGTGGTCATGGGGGTGAGCACCTCCTAATTAAACCACTATCCATTATAATATCTTTTGGAAACCACACATTATAATCTTGACAGCCCTGAGCCTGGCCCTTGGGGTATTTACAGGAAGTGATGAGGAATGAAGGGCAGGCACTAGGGTTTGGCAGTGGAACAGGCCAAGTTCCCATCTCATTTCTGCTCTCTGACCTTAAGCTGTGAGTGCCCCTCTCTGAGCCTCCTTTTTCCTGCACCATGTGGATAAACAAGCTTCACTTAAGGGATTATTGGTTCAAAGGAGATCATCATTGGAAGTGGCTGCCCAGTAATTGTGGAGCTTTTGGAAGCCTACCAGCCTGAAGAGAACTGTTGATGTAGAGAACAGCCTTATCAGTATCTCCCAGGCTTGAGGCCAAGGGGCCCCATCTTTCAAACCTTTGCTGCTTTCAAGTGGGTATTAATACATAGAGAAGGCCCTTTTCTCTTTCTTGATTTCACACTGGGAATTCTGGTCTTCACTCCTTTCTGCTGCAGCGGGACAGGAGGGATTGTGGGAAGAAGGCACCTGCTTCTACCTGGGTGGTTGGGTACTTGAATACTTTGGGGAGGGCAGGGCTTTGGTAAACCCCTAGCTTTGACCTCCACCAAGCATTTTCATCTGCTAGGTAAGCTCATGCCCTTTGGGCCTCAGCTTTCTCATCATGAAATGGGGCAATAATAGCAATATCTGTCTTCCTTCTCCAGCAACCAGTGCAGTGCTTGGCAGAAGACAGGTGCTCAGTAACTGTTTGTCGAATGACTGTTGGGTATGAGAGTACTTTACAAAACAAATGTTACCGTTATTGAGACTCTTTGGGAAGATGTGGAGCAAGGAAACTCCATCTGGAAGGGGAATGTTGCTGGCTTTTTACTCTCTGTCAGAGTCTGGCTTGGTTATTTCAAATGAAACCTACCATTCTAATAATGGTGGCTTCTCTATCTGGGGAGAAGGGGGACAGGCTGATCCCGTGGCTGGGAATCCAGTGTAGGCCAGATTCTATCACTGGCTGACCTCACAGTTCCCTACTTCTGAATGGGCCTCAACTTTCCCATCTCTACAGCAAAAGGCTTACACAGTCTCTATGGTCCCTTCTAGTGCTGAGTCTAGGATTTACAAAGAGCAATCTTTCTTCCTTCCTTTCTTTCTCTTTTCTTCTTTCTTTCTTTCTTTCTTTCTTTCTTTCTTTCTTTCTCTTTTCCTTTCTTCCTTCCTTTCTAGAGAGAGAGAGAAAGCGTGCACGCACCCACACGCAGGATGGGGAGGGGCAGAGTGAGAGGGAGAGAGAGAATTCTAAGCAGGCTCCACGCCCAGCACAGAGCCCGACACAGGGCTGGATCTCACTACCCTGAGATCATGACCTGAACCGAAACCAAGAGTCAGATGCTTAACCAACTGAGCGACCCAGGTGCCCCCTACAATGAGTAATTTCAAAAACGGCTTTGGAAACCCCTGCTGCTTTCCTAAACCACCTCATAGTGTATAGAACACTTACAGCAGATCCCTTATGTTTTTTATCCTGATGGCGACCCAGGAAGAGGCCAGGGCAATGTGCCCATTTTACAGATGAGGAAACTGGAGCTGAGAATTGTCCTCAAGGGGCTATAATTCAAGGCTGCACCACACATTTTGGTTATACCGGTATACTATTTGTTCTCAAATGTGAACCTGCATAAAAGTCACCTGGCATTGGGGGGTGGGGTGGGTAGGGGATTGCTGGTGAAAATACAGATTCCTGAGCACTTAGAGATTCTAAATTGGCAAGGCTGGGGTGGGCCCAAAGTTAACAAGTGCCCAGGTGATTCTGAAACCAGGGGCTGAGGACTCCTTTTAGAGAGCCAGGGCCTCCTTGGTGTATTCTGTGTAGCCTCAGGCACCAGCCTGTTCCTTTCCTAACCTTTCTCAGCACCTGTTCTGGGCCAGACCAGTGTTGGGAGGAGGCCCTGTTGGAGCTCCCAGTCTGGTAGGAGAGGCAGATGGAGAAACTGAATGTGTGGTCAGTGTTGGAACAGAGGCAGCATTGGGCAATGGAGGAAGTGAGTAATTACGACTCTGGAGGGCTCTCTGGAGGAAGTCATGTTTATTCTGGGCCTAGGGATTTGATCCTTGTTTGTGTATTAGCTCCCTTTTTTTTTTTTTCCTGTGGGTCATCCCCACCAGATGGCAGGCAAGTTCATAGAAATGATTAAGTCTCACATCTCTGCCCTCAGAGCTGGCACAAGGCCTGGCACAGAGGAGAGGACAATATTGGTCAAATCAGCTGACCTGAGCAATGAGAAATGGCTGATGGAGATGTCCCAGGGCCTCCGGATTAAATGCATTTTCATGCTCAGCACCCTCACCTCCTCCCTTTGCGAGTTCTAACATGGAGTTAATGGTGGAAATTCCTCATCATATTCCAAACATTTGTTACCTCTGTTCCTCTCCTTATCTTTTCACTAGACTGAGCTCTTCAAGGTCTGAACTAAGAATGGGGCACAGAGCAGGCTCTCAAAACGTTTGCTGAATAAGTGGGTGAATGAATGAGTTCAAGCAGAAGCTGTGCATTGGCTATTGAAGAGATTCCGGCTAAAAGGGGGCTTACAGGAAAGCCCCAAGCTGCATTGGGCCAGATTTCCCTCCCCATTTCCTAGCAGCCCCCTTCTGCTCAGGCTTAGGGTGAGAGGGACAAGGCAGGTGCAGGATTTGAAAGTAAATGGTATAGGTGGGGCAAGTTGAGATGGGAGCGGCAGCTGGGGCTTTGGAGGTGGGGCTGAACCTAGAAAAGAGGAAGGGCAGTTTCTAGTGATCCGAACTGAGGTTGTTGGGGCTACAGGTGGCAGAGTCTAGGGGTCACGTGAGGTCTAAGTACGGTGTGAAGTGCAGAACGGACGCTCCGTCCTAAAGGTCTCCATACAGGGATCAGCAGGATGCGGTGCACCGGGGTGGGAGCGGGGCCACCACGCCTCGGGTAGGGACAGTCCCGGCTGGGGGCGGGGAGTGCGAAAGCTCCTGGCACCGCCCCGACAAAGCCTGCGCGCGCCCGGTCGCGCGATTGGCCGCGCCTCCTCGCGCCGACGCCCCGTCCCGCCCACCGCCGCCGGTCCGGCGCGCTGCAGCCAATGGACCCCGTCGCCGTCGCCTACGTCACAGTCCGGACAGCCAATGGTGAGAGCGCTCGGCGGCTCGTGGCTCTTTCGCGGCAAAAAGGATTTGGCGCGTAAAAGTGGCCGGGACTTTGCAGGCAGCGGCGGCCGGGGGCGGAGCGGGATCGAGCCCTCGCCGCGGCCTGCCGCCATGGGCCCGCGCCGCCGCCGCTGCCTGCCACCCGGGCCGCGCGGGCCGTGAGCGCCATGGCCGTGGCCCCCGCAGGCGGCCCATGCGCGCCGGCGCTGGAGGCCCTGCTCGGGGCCGGCGCGCTGCGGCTGCTCGACTCCTCGCAGATCGTCATCATCTCCACGGCGCAGGACGCCAGCGCCCCGCCGGCCCCCGCCGCGCCCGCCGCCGGCCCCCGCGACCCCGACCTGCTGCTCTTCGCCACGCCGCAGGCGCCCCGGCCCACACCCAGCGCGCCGCGCCCTGCGCTGGGCCGCCCGCCGGTACGGACACCAGGGACACTGGGCCGAGCGCGCGTCTGGACCCCCGTGCAGACCCGGGCGGGGCGCGGTTTTTGGCCCGGAGGCAACGGGGGCGGGGGAGGGGGTGGGCCGAGGCTCCCGGGCTGGGCGGGGCCGAGCCTGGGTTGGGCCTCCGGGCCCCGCCCCGGGCTGCGGGGTGACCTCGGGCCAGTCCCTGTTTGCTCCTCTTCCCTGGGCCTCAGCTTCCCGGAGCCGCTCGAGGGTCAGACTCCGGTAATAATGGCCCACGTGTATTCAGTTGGCGTTGCCTGCATGCCAGGTCTCTGGCCGACTTCGAGCCAGCTAAAACTCACAACCATGCTGTGAGCTCCGTGTTGTCACTGTGCCCATCTGAACTGAGGCCCAGAGAGGGGAAGTGACTTGCCCCCAGTCATACGGCTGCAAGTGGTGAGGCTGGGATTTGAATTGAGGCCTGCTGGCCCCAGACCAGAACTCGTGGCAGGGTAGTGGGCATGGCTCCTTGGGGAGGTGAAGGGGGGTGTCCTGGGGCCAGACTATTGAAGAGTCATTGAGGAGACCCTCCTTCCTGCCTAGATGCTCCACTGCCAGGTGCAGGCCTGGGCCTCTGGGGACAGGCCTCCTGGCTGGGAGGCCTTCTCTGCAGGGGCGGGGTGGCTGGGCCAGCTGCTGATCCCCTCCCTCTGCCTGTCCTTCCATCTGCCACCCTCCACCCTCACAGGCCCTGGTTGCCATGGAGCCTCATTAGGCAGGCAGGCAGACCCCTAGGCCCCCAGGGAAGTCCTGGGTGGGCTGGGCCTCTTGGGAGCTGGAGTAGAGGCCCCCAGTGCCAGGAGAGAGTAAACATCCCAGGGAGATGGCTTGATAAAGTGTTCCCTGAGCAGCAAGAGGCTCAAGACCAATTTGGACTGGGGGGGCCCAGAAGAGGTTGCTGAATTACAGGGGACAAGGGTGTAGAGGCCTGAAGCTTGGACCTGTGGGCTGCAGGACTGGGTGTGGAGACCAGTTTGACTGGCAGAGCCTGTGGGTGAAGGTGGGGTGTGGAGGGCTGGCAGGGGGGCCAGGCCAGCCTGGCAGGATGGGGTCTCAGCAGAGGGCTTGGAGCAAGTGGGAGGGGTGAGGCAGAGCCAGGGCAAGGAGGTGGAAGCTGTCCAACTGCTTACAGGGGCCTGGGTGGCAGCTGGTCCCTGAGGCATCCCGGCACGTCTCCCCTAACTCCCTTGGCCCCTCGCCCAGTGCTGCCTTCCTTCCGGAATCACCAAGATGCTAATAATAATAACAATGGGAGCCACCATTGTTTTGAGACTGTTTTGTGTGTCAGGCTGTGTGCCAAGCACTTCACCCAGTTAACTCAGCAACCATCCCGTTTTACAGATAGGGAAGCTGAGACCTAGAGGTGGTAGCTCATTCAGCTAGTGAAATGGTGGGACCAGTCCAGACTTCCTGAGTGGTTAACCAATTAGCCACTGGGATGCTTTGCCTCCTGGGGATGCTAATAGAGGTTGAAGGAAGTTCAGGGACCCTTCTGATGGGTCAAGGGAGGAGGATTGTACCAAGGGGCGGGTCACCTATATCCCAGTGGCTTTTCTCTGCAGGTGCCAGTCCGGGGCCTGGACCTGAAAACTGCATTTAGCTGACTAACTGATAGTACTTAGCCGACCCCCAGGACTGTAGAGGCTGAGCTCCAACCTCAGAGGGACTGCCAGAGACTGGGCTGAGGAAATGTGCGCCACCTCACCCCCAGTGGTGTCAGGGGCAGCCTTTGTGGGCCTGAGCATTCCATTCATTCAACTGTTATTGAGTTAGTGAACACCCAAGAGGTACTAGACACGGGCAAGCAAGGAGCCTCTGCCCTCACAGCATTGAAGCATTGGGAGCCATTTTCTGCCGGTGGGTGGGGGTGAGGCCTGGCACCATCCTGGAGCCAAAGTCCAGAAACATGGGCCCAGCTTTGGCCCTCCAACACTCCCCCCTCTTGTACCCCTGAGCTGTGGCCTCCACTGACCTTCTGCACTGGCATTGGTTTGGGGCAGTCTTTGAAACAAGCTGCAGGTTCAGCTTCTGCATCAGTGAGCATTCATTGAGCACCTCTTGCGTATACAAGGCCCTGTACAATTCAGCCATTTCTCCTGGCCCTTCCCGTCCACTTCTATGCTGTTGTCATGGCTGTTTAAAAAACAAGTTAAATATGATAGACATTTGCTATAGAAAAAGAGTTAAGAGACTAAAAAGTTGAAGGATGCCAACCCCATTTTTCCTTCTGTTTTCTTTTCCTAAGCTTGTTTTTTTTTTAAAGGTGGTAGTGACAGCTTTCTTTTTCTTAATTTTTAGAAATTGTAGTTTTTCCTTTATTTCTATGTTTAAACAGTGGGTCATCCATACTTTATAGATACCGTAACAGTCCCCTGTGGTTGTCCTCACACACACCATGCAGAGGTTACTCCTAGAAGAGATTCTAAAATATTAGAAACTAAAGCAGAGAAAAATGTTTCATGAGGTTTTTTAATCCAAAAAGGGATCACATAAATGCATTGCCCTCTAATGACGTTTTTCTTGTCATTATGTCTCTGAGAGGATTGTGTCACCCTGCCTTAGTCCTCGACAGCTACGTGGTACTCCGGGGCTGGGGGAGCCACACTTTCTGTGGCTCCCCTTCCACAGGTGGTTGTTGGAGTGGCCCAGATTTTTTCACCAGTGTTCTGTGTGTCTTCACCTCTGCCTTTTTAGGCTCCTGTGCCAAGATCTCTGGAGAGCAGTGGCAGAAATGGACCTCTGCTTGAGCCCTTGCTTTGCGGTGTGGCATTGACCTGTCTTCAGGGGCGGGTAGGGGCCTGAGGAACAGGGAGAAGATGAGGGGTGCCGTTGGCAGGAGCATGCTAGGTTCAGGCCCAAGGGACAAGACTGGCTTTTGGGGGGCTGGCTTCTGGACGAGGCTGCCCGGAGGTCGGGCACGTGGTCCATAGGAACGTGGGCTCTGGGCCAGCTTGTTAGGGCTCACATCCTGGCCCTGCCTCTCACCGACCTGTCTGAGCTGCAGGCCCCTTGGGAAGGAGAGGTCACCACGGCATCTGTTGCAAGGCCTGGGCAGAGGGTTTGATGACTGGATGCAGGTAAAGCCATCCTTTAGCAGTGCTCGGTACACCAGAGGCACTGGGCATGTGCGAGCGCTTCTGTCCCCGGGACACTCGAGGGCATCCCCCAAGGCGCCGTGAGGAGGGGGGTCTGGGCCTGGCGGCGCACGTTAGTTAACACCAGGCACCACGGCGGACAGTGACGATGCAGGCCCAGCACCTGCCTCTGAGGGGGCACTGCCTTCCGGGTGAGGCCAACACCTCTTCGGAAATTTGTAGCAAGAGAGAACGTGGGGAAAGGTCGGGTTTGAGGCGCTTTGGCGGGAGAAGCGGCCCGGTCTGTTGCAGGATCAGAAAGACCTAAGTAACTAAGGTGCCTGCCCACAGAGGTGGGAAGAGTCCGTGCGAAGTGGAGGGAGGCAGGGAGGGCACTGCTAGGAGGGAAGCCCCGTGGGCTAAGGCTTGGAGGCAGAGGTCTGTGAGAAAACCCATCTGAGCGGAAGTTCATGTGGAGAAGTGGCCGAGGGGGTACAGATGGAGGTGGGGAGATGGCTGAGTGGTCCAGGTGGGAGGAGACGGTGGCTGTGGTGATGGGATTTCTTGGCAACCAGGTGTGACGAGGGCATGGCTGCCGAATGAGGTTCTAGCTCAGGAAACCCTGTGGGTGAGAGAGGGGCAGGTCAGGCTGGTGTGGGTCAGGACGGGCCTGAGATGCCCGTGAGCCTTCTGGGGCAATCTCCATCCTCCAGTGTGTATGACGGGAGTCCTGGCTCAGCCGCTTCCTGGCCGTCGGACCTTGGGCCTCTCTGGGCTTCAGTTACTTTATCTGTAAGATGGAGCCATCATTATTATTTTTAAAGATTTTATTTATTGATTTGACAGAGCACCAGAGAGCACAGGCAGGGGGAGTGGGAGAGGGAGAAGCAGACTCCCTGCTGAGCAGGGAGCCCGATGCGGGGTGGGATCATGACCTGAGCCGAAGGCAGATGCCCAACTGACTGAGCCACCCAAGTGCCCCAAAACAGAGCCATTATTGTGCTGCTGGTCCATAGGACGGAATGAATTAACATGTGCAAAGCATGTGGTGAGCGCTAACTGCCACCATGTTCATAGAACCAGAGAGGAGGGGCGCCTGGGTGGCTCAGTCGTTAAGCGGCTGCCTTCGGCTCAGGTCATGATCCCAGGGTCCTGGGATCGAGTCCCACATCAGGCTCCCTGCTCCGTGGGAAGCCTGCTTCTCCCTGTCCCGCTCCCCCTGCTTGTGTTCCTGCTCTTGCTGTCTCTCTGTCAAATAAATAAATAAAATCTTTAAAAAAAAAAAAAAAAAGAACCAGAGAGCAGGTGACTCGCCCAAAGGACCTGGATCCTAATGGCTTAAAACAACAAGCACTTAACTAATACAACACTGTATGTTATTGATACTAGAACTGAAATTAAAAACTTAATTAAAATAAAACCCCAATAACAAACATTTATTATTCATACAGACTTGTGGGGCAGGAATTCAGAGGAGACTTAGCCTAGTGCTTCTGGCTCAGGATCTGAGGTTGTAGCCAAAATGTTGGGCCAGGCTGCAGTCATCAGAAGGCATGACCAAGGGTGTTTCTAAGACTCATGTTGCTACTGGAGGAGGCCTCAGTGCCTTGCCACTTGGGCCTGTGTGACATGGCCGTGGCTCTGTCCAACATAGAAAAGGAGGAGGAAGCTCCAGTGCGTCTCTGACCCAGTCCAAGAAGTGACTTGTCATCACGTCCATCACACTGCTCCTTAGAAGCAAGTTACCAGATCTGGCCCATATTTAAGGGGAGGAGAATTAGGCCCCATTTTTGGAAAGGAAGAGTATCAAATTTGCTGACCTACTTTAAAACCACCACAGACACCCAGGGAAGTAGTGGTAGAGCTAGAACTTGAACTCGGGTCTTTTGCCCTCCAGTTGAGTATCCGTCCCGTGTGGTAGGATTATGTCCCCTGGGATCTCCCCCTCCCTCACACACTTGGGGGCCTGGTAGAGAAAGTGGGGCAGGGGTGGCCCAGGAGCACCAAGCCCTGAGCCAGGTCTCTTGTGGCCTTGCTCCTGGTTATTGGGCATCCTCCCGTTGTCTCTGCCACAGGTAAAGCGGAGGTTGGACCTGGAAACTGACCATCAGTACCTAGCTGAGAGCAGCGGGCCAGCCCGGGGCAGAGGCCGCCACCCAGGAAAAGGTACCCACAGAGCTTGGGCTCGGGCAGGCCCTCTGACCGGGCCCAAGTTGGGGGTGTGGACAGACAGACATGCTTGCAAAGTAAGCTCTGGTCTGTCAGGCCTGGACCTGAGCCAGGCCTCTGGGGGCCCCGAGGGGCAGCTGGAGTGGCTGCCTGGCATGGCTTCCCTAGGCCCTGGGGGGTGGGGAGTTCCCCAGCCAGAAGAGGAATGTCGTGTGGTTGGCAGGCAGCAGGCCCAGGCCCTCCCTGTTGGCTTCGCCAAGGGGAAGGAGCCATCTGCCCACCCCACCCCTATCTTCCTGCCCTGCACTGCCGGGAAGGCTAGCCTGCCTGGGTGTGGGGGTGGTGCTGAGGGAACCTTCCTTGCCTGGACCCCCAGGTGTGAAATCCCCAGGGGAGAAGTCACGCTATGAGACCTCGCTGAATCTGACCACGAAACGCTTCCTGGAGCTGCTGAGCCGCTCAGCTGATGGCGTTGTTGATCTGAACTGGGCGGCCGAGGTGCTGAAGGTGCAGAAACGGCGCATCTACGACATCACCAATGTCCTCGAGGGCATCCAGCTCATTGCCAAGAAGTCCAAGAACCACATCCAGTGGCTGTAGGTACCAGCCACTCTGGAGGGCAGGCAAGAGGCTGAGGCCCCGGGGCCAGGCCAGCATGCAGGAGCTGATAGCGATCTCCACCGTGACTTGTCCACATCCTCGTCATCTCGCTGGGGAAACCAAGGCTTAGAGGGGGAGGTGGCTTCTCTGAGGAAAGTCCGCAGATCTTACATCTGCAGCTCAATGCACCGTCATGTATTTCTTCGCCTGGGGAGCCACCATCCAGATCAGGAGGAAGAACATGTCCAGCACCACAAAAGTTCCCTGTGCTCCTTCCCAGTTGTTGCCCACCCCTCCTCCCCTTAGGTGATGACTATTCTGCCCTCTGTTGCCATCAGTGGGATTGTCTTAACACAACTGTTTGATTCTTGTTAATTCTTGTTTGAGTTTTCCCCTCTCACCCCCTTCCCTGGCCTTCCTACTCCCTTCTCTTTGACACCTCTTCCTTTTCAGTTTTTGGTGGATCATTCCATTCTGCATCATTTTTTTTCTTTCTACTCGACCACACGTCTTGGAAGTGCGTCCATGTCTGTATATCTTAGATTCCCGGCCTTTTATACAACCGGATAGTATTCCAAGGCGTGCCTGTGCCGTCATCTACTTAGCCTGCCCCCTGTGAGGGACGTGTCGGTATTCACAGCCATTCAGGCCCGACTTTGGAGCCCAGCTTCCGCCTTCTGCCATTTCCCAGCCGAGGAGCCAGACCCAGAGAGGGATGAGGGCTTGCTTGGGCCTTACAGAATGGGCGGCAGCAGACTAGGTGCTGAGGGTTAGGGCTCCTGGGCCAGGAGCTGCAAACCCTCCGTTTGCCTCCTGCAGAGGCAGCCACGCGGCAGTAGGGATCGGTGGGCGGCTTGAAGGACTGACCCAGGACCTCCGGCAGCTCCAGGAGAGTGAGCGGCAGCTGGACCACCTGATCCACGTCTGCACCACACAGCTGCGGCTGCTGTCTGAGGACTCCGACAGCCAGCGATATCCTTGGACTGTGGGGAGTGCTGCCGCGGGGGACAAGACTGGCGGTGGGGCCCCCTCCAAGTGGGACTAGGGAGGCGACCCCGGGCCCTGGGTTCAGGAAGGGGCTCTGGCTTTGGATGCCAGCTCTGGGCTGAGCACTCAGTGTTAGGCTGGACAAATGATGGGACGTCTCGGAGCCTCAGCTTCATCTGTAAAAGGGGAAAGTAATCAGTCCCCAAACTGTGCAGACTAAAACAAGAAACCCTAGTACGAACAGTAGCAAACATTTATTTAGTAGTGATTTGGTACATGGCAGTAGCTTCAAAGTTAGAGATCTAAGTTCTTATTTGCCTTTCATTCACAAAAATAGAAACTTTTTAAGATTTTATTTTTAAGTAATCTCTATGCCCAACATGAGGCTCAAACTCACAACCCCGAGAAGAGTCCCACGCTCCACTGACTGAGCCAACCAGGCGCCGCTAGAAACTTTATTTTAAAATAAGTCTTTTTTTGTTTGTTTGCTTTTTTTAGTGACTACCCAATTATGTGGGGTTTTTTGTTTTTGTTTTTTCTTAAGATTTGAGAGGGGGAGCGAGAGAGCGCATGTGTGTGAGAGAGCACAAGAGCAGGGGGAGGGAAAAGCAGACTCCCCGCTGAGCAGGGAGCCCAATGTGGGGATCATGACCTGAGCTGAAGGCCGATGCTTAACTGACTGAGCCACCCAGGTGCCCCCCAAATTATGTTTATAAGTTTTGGAGACAACCACCAACTGACACCAAGGTCACGGGTCAGAATAAATTCTCAGCACCAGGTGTGGCGTTGTGTTAAGTAATTTACGTGAAATTATTGCAGGCAGCCATCATTACCTTGGGATTTTGTGGGTAGAATGATCTCATTGTACAGATGTGGAAATTGAAGCTCAAGGGCATGAGACGGTCTCAAGCACCAACTATGTGCCAGGCCCTGGGGTGGGGTATGGAGAGGACAGAACAAACTAAGTAGGTATGGGCTCTTAATGAACTGTCTGGGTGGGTGACCACAGAGGTCAAAGGTCATAGGGTCCTTGACTCCACCAACCCTGGCCTACGTGACCTGCCAGGACCTTCGTAGCATCGCAGACCCTGCAGAGCAGATGGTCATGGTGATCAAGGCCCCTCCCGAGACCCAGCTCCAAGCTGTAGACTCCTCAGAGGTGAGACCCAGGACTCCAGACCTGCCCAGGACAGGCTGGGCGGGGTTGGTGGTCAGCTGAGCCTCCATTTACCCTGCCTGCTGCCTCCACCCAGACCTTTCAGATCTCCCTTAAGAGCAAACAAGGCCCCATTGACGTTTTCCTGTGTCCTGAGGAGACTGCAGGCGGGATCAGCCCTGGGAAGACCCCGTCCCAGGGGACAGCTTCTGGGGAGGAGGACCGGGCAGTTCACCCTGCCACCACAGTGCCACCGCCATCATCTCCCCCTTCGTCCCCTGCTGCGGATCCCAGCCAGTCCCTGCTCAGCCTGGAGCAAGGTGGGTGAAGGGGGGGTGGGTGGGGTGGGTCAGGGTCCCTTTCCCAGCGGGGTGGGCAGGCACGAGAGCCCCCTCTACCCTCCCTGCGGGCCGTCCCCGGCCTGTGATGCTCCCCCATCTCCCCAGAACCTCTGCTTTCCCGGATGGGCGGCCTGCGGGCCCCCATGGACGAGGACCGCCTGTCCCCGCTGGTGGCGGCCGACTCGCTCCTGGAACATGTGCGGGAGGACTTCTCCGGCCTCCTCCCTGAGGAGTTCATCAGCCTGTCCCCCCCTCAGGAGGCCCTCGACTACCACTTTGGCCTTGAGGAGGGTGAGGGCATCAGAGACCTCTTCGACTGTGACTTTGGGGACCTTACCCCTCTGGATTTCTGACGGGGCTTGGGGGGGACCAGGGCCTCCTGAGATGCCCACCCTGTCTTTGCAGCCCTGGAGCCCCCTGCCCCTGGCCGTCCTCCCAACCCAATTGGAAACGTTTAATTTATACCCCTCTCCCCTATCTCCAGAAGCTTCTAGCTCTGGAGTCTGGCTACTTGCCAGGAGGCTGAGCAAGCCAGGAAGGGAAGGATTCTGTTTGTGGTGTGTATGTGCATGCACCCAACACCCAACATGTGTGTACACGGGGTGAGTGGTGTGTGAGCATGTGTGTGTGCATGTACCGGGGAATGAAGGTGAACACATCTGTGCGTGCACTGAAAACACGCCCCAGTGTGTCCACGTGTGTGTGCATGAGTCCATGTGTGCGCGTGGTGGGGGCTCTAACTGCACTTTTGGTCTCCTTGCTCCAGGGGCCCCACGAGGCCCAGGGTGGCCACCTGCCCCCAGAATCCTGTGTGCTGACCAGGCCAGGTGGCGAGGCCTTGGCCTGCTTGTTTGCAGGACAGCCAGAGCACTTCTGTCGTCTTAAAGGTTTTTCTGATCGAAGCTTTAATGGAGCGTTATTTATTTATCAAGGCCTCTTTGGCAAGCCTGGGGCACCAGCAAAGGGTAGGAGGGATGTGGGGCTGATGCCCCAACTCCCTATACCCCTGAGCGGGGCAGGGGTCCCTGAGCTGTTCTTTGCCCTACTCCGAAGGAGGTGAGGCCCGAGCGGTTTATTTATTGGGAAAGTGAGGGAGGGAGACTGACTGACAGCCATGGGTGGATCAAGGGGGTGGTCCCTCCCCAGGGGGTCACTGCAGGGCCCCAACTGCCCCCCAGGATGGATGTGAGATGGGAAAGGTGAGTGGGGGACCTTCACTGACAAGGTGGGCAGGAGGGGTGGGTGAAGGGCTTCCGCTAGCCCAGACCACAGGGGCCCCTCTGCCCCACTCATTGCTCTGCCGCCCCCCCCCCAATCTGCACTTTGATTTACCTTCCTAACCGCTCTGTTCCCTCCTGCTTTGGTTTTAATAAATATTTTGATGGTGTTTGGGCTGGGTTTTGGGACTATGTACTGGGAGCAGACCTGGGGGTGGGAGAGGTCCTGGTTGCTGGGAAAACGCCCCTTGTCTACTTTTCCTCTCCCTGCCCCTGCTTGGTTTCATTTCATTTGAGCCCCACAGCCACAAGAAAGCTAGGCTTTGTCACCATTTTGTCCTAATCTTAAAAACTGATCCAGTGACGTAGTAAGCGAACTCCCCTCCTTTCCCCAGAGTCCCATAGAGGCCACTCTGGTTGCTGTGTTCCTTCCAGATGTTTCTGGGCATTTGTAAACCCGCAACAAATAATTACAACAGGATGATTCTGTGTCAGGTTAAAAGAACCTGACACAGGTTCTGGGGACATATGTTCCCTCCTAGGCCTCTCAGGGTTGTCTGGAGGAGATTTATTAGACCAATGAGAAAATCAGAGGGCTTCCTGGAAGAGGTGATGCTTGAGCTGAGAGCTGTGGGATAGAGTTAACAGGAGGAAAATATGAACACACGTAGCAGACAGGGCAATGTGGACAAAGGCCCTGGGGCAGGAGGGAGCAGGGCACAGAGGACCTGAGAGAAGCCAGTGTGGAGTCCTGAGGTGAGGGTCAGAGTAGAGAGAAGTTCAGACTCACTGGTGAGTCTGAGATAGCAATGACATCCTGTTTTGTATTTTAAAAGTCCCCTTTGGCTGCTGTGTGGAAGATGAAGAGCCAGAATGGCAGAGGGGAGGGGAGAGAGAGGGCTGAATTGAGTTTGAAAGGGGGAGTCGAGGGGGGCTGGGAGGCAGTCCACACAGACCTGTTTAACCCCTAGGTGAGCTTTCTCTGAGCCAGTTCCTATTCTAAGCCCTTTACAGTCAGTAGGTGAGTCCCCACAATCATCCTTTATGGATTGTGGGGATTAGGGTTACCCCCATTTTGCAGAAAAGGATACAGACGCTCAGAGGTGAAGTCCCTTGCAGGTCTCACGCACAAGGTGTCACTCTGTTGTACGGCAGTTTGCTGACCCTACAGCGGTGTGGGACCTGCCCTTGGTGGGCACGTGGTGCGACCCCTTCCACTCTGTTCCCGGCTGTGTAGCACTCCCGAGCCACCAGGCACGCGCACAGCCAGTGCGAGCTGGAAACGACCCCCGGGTGGTTCCTGACTCCACAGTCGCCAACGCTCCGGGAGGCTCTGGTAGCAGAACCGCGGAGGCGAAAGGTGTTGGAGTTCTACTACGTGTAGCTCCTGCCCACCTGAAGGCTGGAGTTGGCTTTTCGAGTGGGGAAAGCGAGGCCCCCGGGAAGGGTGGGGGCGGAGGGAGCCTCCGTGGCCGGCTGGGCGGGCGCCAATGGGCGGGCGGCTGGGCGTCCGCGCCGGCGCCAATGGGCGGGCGGCCCCCCAGGTCCGGGGCGGTGGCGGCGGCGGCGTCCAGAAGCGGGAGCCGCAGCCGAGCGAGCCGTTGCCGAGTGGCTGGCGGCGCCATGGCGTGCGCGGGGCTGCTCACCGTGTGCCTGATCCGGCCGCCCGCGCCCGAGCCCCGGCGGCCCCCCGCGCCCCTGCCTGCCGCCGCCGTGCCCGCCGGACACGCGCTCTTCCAGGACGTGAGTGGGGCGCGGGCGGGGGGCGCGGGCCCTGTGGCCCTGGGGTTGTCGCTGTCTATCCAGCTCTGTCCTCTCTCTCCCGGTGTCTCACTGGGCTCTGTCTCTCGCTGTCTCTCCTTGCCCCCGGCTCTGCGTCTCTGTGTGCATGTCTCTCCCTCCAGGTCTGTTTGGGCCCCTGCTTCGGTCCCGGGGTCTCTGCTTCTCGCTGTCTCTCTCCGACCCTGCTGTCTCCGTTCTCCCTCATCGTTTCCACTGTGTCCGTTCTCTGTCTCCTTGTCTCCTGGTTCGGTGTCACTGCCCCTGCTGTCCCCCCACCCCCAAGTCCACCCCGTCTGTGTGTCTGATGCAGTGGGGACGGTTAACACTAGATCACAGGAGCAGTCCTTTCTACGGCAACCCTAGGCTCGGCTGACCCGGGCACGGGAGCCTGGAAGAATAAACAGCCTCCCGACTTTCTGACCCAGCGCTGATCCCAGGAGTCCCTCAGATCTGACCCAGGGGCCGTGGGGTCCCACAGTTGGTCAGGATTGCCCGCAGTGGTCTGTACATCCCTCCTGTGGGTGGCAGGTGGGCCTGCAGCCCCCTGGAGGCACCAACATGGAGCAGCCTAGCGGGGCCTCAGTCCCTGCCCTGAGCCCCTTACCCCCTTTCACCCTAGTGCTCAGCCCCATCCTGGCCCGCTCATGCCCCGACTTTCAGAGGTCTCTGCCTGTGGGGAAGATGGTGCTCCTGTCCCTTCCCTGCTGTCCCCAGTGACTCAGCACCTTGACCACAGTCCTCCTGGATGGAAGGGACCTGTCTGTCCTGCTTCCCAGATGGAAAAACCAAGGCCCGACGAGTTCAGACTATGTCTACGATCACACATGGAGGCAGATGTATGCTAGGGCGTGGCCCCAGATGTCCTCACTCCTAGTGTCGCCCCCCATCTCCATCTGCCCCAGTCAGGCCACGCTGGGCTGCTGTGTGACCCTGAGCCAGTGGCAGGCCTTCTGTGAGTCAGGTTTCTGGCCAGGGGTTAGATTCATGCCAATGCTTCACTGGCCCAGAGCAAACAGCTGGAGAGGAGTGGCTTTCAGGAGCTGGAGCTGCTAGGCGTTCTCTGCTAGGCTTTGGCCTGCCCCTTCTCGCCAGGTGTGTTGGTCTCCCATTTGCTGGGCTGCTTTGGGTGACTTGGGAGTCTCTGGTCCCTGAACATGTCTTGACTTTGCTCCTCTCTGTCCGCCTCTGTTGCCCTTCATCTCTGCTTCTCTGTAAATGCAGTCTGTCCACCCTTGCTCTCTGCCACTCACTTCCCCTTGCACGTACACACACACACACGTGCACACACACACATATACGTGAGGCCTGCCCGAGGCCTTCACACTGAGTCAGACTCAGAGGAAGCCCCAGCCCTGAAAGGGTTAACCCCAGGCATCCACAAAGAAAGGACTAGCCACTGCCCGCATATCAGGGTCTTAAACAAGCACCTAGGGAAACAGCCGTGAACAGGCAGAGTCTGGGATGGACCATGGCCATGCTGCAGAGTTGGGGGGTTCAGATCTGGGACAAGGGCCCAGGAACTGGGCCCATCTCCCCTCCTTCCTCAAGCTGGGACCGTGCCAAGGGCTGATGCATCAGACAGAATCCAGGATAGACTCTAGGTATGGGAGGTGGGGGTGCCGGAAGCTGGCCTGGAGCACCCGCCATGAGGGTGCTTGGTGGGGGGACCTGGCTGTTGGAGACCCAGGAGGTCTCCCTGCAGGAGAAGTGAGCAAGTGGTGGGACCTGCTGTGTGATCTTCCCATGCCCCTCTTGTTGGAAAACCTCCTGCAGGGCTGATCTGGGCAGGGAGTTGGGACCAGGCTGGGCAGGAGGAAGGGTGAGGTGGGGGCAGCCTGGCCAGCTGGGGCCCTAATGAGTTGGGTGGGGGCCTCTTGCCTCCTAGGCAGCGCTCACAGTTCCCATCTGTGCCCCTTTGTCCTCTAGGTTTTCCGCAGAGCAGACAAGAATGGTAAGTGTGGCTTTCCCTGGGTCCACAGTGTAGGGAAGGGTGGGAGACATCAGGGAGGCTCAGGGGAGTGTGGGGTTTGGGGGTACAGCCTAGAATGGAGAAGACTCTTGAGGAGACCCAAATCAGGAAAATCACTCAAGGCATCCTTCCCAGAGGGAGTGCTGTTTGGAGTTGAGCTTGGCAGGATGGAGAGTGGAGGGAATGTGGTTTAGTCAGAGGCTGGAGGTGGGGGCGTACTCTAACACAGTGCCCTGGCACAGTTGTGGGTAACTCTTCTATATGACTTCATGTTGTCCTCACATCTGTCAGCTAGGTGGGAACTCTTCACCCCATTTCACAGACGAAGGAGCAGAAGCCCAGAGAGGTGAAGTGGGTGGCCTAAAGTCACAAAGCCTTTAAGTGGTGGGGCTTGAACCAGGGTCTGTGTGATGCTTTGTCCCAGGTTCCCTGTGTAAAGGGCTTGGAAAGGTGGGGTGATGGAGATGAGGCCCTAGATCTTTAGAGGGCTCAGTAACTTTCTGTAGGACCAGCCACCTGGACCCAGGGAGGGCTTGCACAGGATGGTGCTGGGTCCAGAGAATCCGCTGCCCCTGCCCTGGGTCCTGGACAGTCTCAGACCCGGGTCTGGGAAGACCTTGAAAGCTAAAGCAGGAGCCCTCAAGGGAGCCCGGAAGCAAGTTGCTGCCCACAGGTGACTTGGAGCAGCCCACTGTGCCCTGATTGGCCGGGTGAGGGTCTGAGCTGAGGCAGCGAGTCAGCCTCGGCCTCACTTCTGTCTGGGGTCTTAAGACCCTTTTGTGTAAGCCTCCTAGAGACAGGATCGTGTCCCAACTCACTGATCAGGACTTTTGGATCACAGCGTCCTGTCTGGGGAGGCTCAGACCCTCCCCCAGCCCTGCTCCCCCAACCCCATCTGCTTACAGACCTTACAGGCCAAATCCCCAGTGTCTTTGGCCATTGCACCGTTGATTAGACTGTTACGAGGTCCCTGCCTAGAGGAGGTTATTCCCTGCTGCTTCTTGCAGGGGCTCCAACTCTTAGGAAGATCTCATGTGCCTCCCAGTGGCTTCTCTGTGAAGGGCGTGGGTCCAGAGCAGCCTGGAGCCAGGCTGGCGGGCAGAGACTCAGCCCCCGAGTCCTCCGAGTGACGTCTAGGTCCTGCCATGATCTGGCCGTGTCCCAGGCTGTTCATCTGCATCTTCACTTGGCAAACATGTATTGAGTCCTGATGTAATGCGACGTGTACGCTGCCCTGTCCCTTAGGTGCCTGGAAAGTGAACCCTGCTGCCTTAAGTGGGCACCTCCAGGGACCCTTTTGTCTCCAACAGCCAGGTCCCCCCACCAAGCTCAGAATTCCATTCCACCTGGCTGAGTAGTCGTTAGGGGGGTCTGAATCCGGTGGCAGGGGTCAGGGATACCAGCTTTGCTCCCTGCCCCTCCCCCCCCCCAGATGATGGTAAGCTCTCATTTGAGGAATTCCAGAATTACTTTGCTGATGGGGTTCTCAGCCCTGGGGAGCTGCGGGAGCTGTTCAACGGCATTGATGGGCACTCCACCAAGTAAGTACGAGAGGGGGTGGGTGAGCCGTGGGTAGATGTGAGGCTAGGTTATCCCAGCCGCACTGTGTCCCCTGCTGCCTCAGTTCCTTATGGAGGATGGGGGGTTGCATAGGGAGAGAGGTGCCGGGGCCCGATGCCAACTTTACCCGCCCACTCACCCCCCTCCCTGGCTCCAGCCTTGTCCATCACACTCCTTCCAGCTGGGACCCCAAAATAGCCAGGTCTGAGTCACCGCCTGTGGTTCAGCCCACAGGTGTCCCCCCTCCCCATTCCCGCTTCCTGCAGGGACCAGAGGATGCCTGAGGCTAGCTGGGCCCCGCCAGCTTCCACCCGTGGATGCAAGTGCACCAACACGCACTTACCTCCCCGTGTGTGTTCCCACATCTGCAGGCCTTAGCAGCAGCTGCACGCTTTCCTCCCTGTGCTTCTCACATGCGTGCACATGCACACACAGCTGTCCCTCCCTGTCCCCTGGCATCTCCTTAGAAATAATTCCAGACTCTGGGTCAGCATTCAAGGTTGCCGTGCCCTTCCCTATTCTGGAGCCTGAGCCAGACCTTTTTGTCTGCAGTGCCGCCACCTCCCCACCACCAGACACTCCAATCAAATCCCTTGTCCTTCAAGGCCTAACTAAAGCAGCCTCCTCCGGGAAGCCCTCCCTAACCTACCAAGTAATACCCCGTGCTTTCTCTGGAGTTCCCCAGACCTGGCTTCTCCTTCCCAGCTCTGACCCCTCCTCTCTGGCCTGTGTCCACATTTCTCTCCCTGGGCCTGAAAGCCCCTTGGAGGCCAAGAGTGGGTCTGAATTTTTGCCCTCCGTAGTACCCTCGCTGCCCCTCTCGGCCCACTGAGCTGCTTCACCTGGGGTAGAGGCAGGAGTAGCCTCCGCATCAGGCTGAGCTGGGCAGGCGGTGGGAGGGGCATTGGCTTCAGAGTCCCAGGTCACAGGCTTACTTCTGTGGGACTGAAGGGTGCCTTCTCTTTTCCCCACAGCAATTTGGAAACAGAGAGACTGTGTGGTGAGTAGGCCCACGGGAGCTCCGGTCTCCTGGGACCCCTGGGCAGGTGGGCAAGATGAGAGGCTGTTCCTCCTCTCCTAATGGAACAGGATGGGCTTGGCTCAGGATATGAGGCCTGGTTGGCTGCAGAGGAATTCCAGGTTGGGGTAAATGAGGCCATGGAGCAGATGGGGGGTGGTCCGGGAACCTTTGAGCACCTCCTCTGCCCACAGACTATTTCTCAAAACACCTGGGTGTCTACCGGCCCGTGCTGGCTGCCCTGGAGTCGCTGAACTGTGCAGTGCTCACTGCCATGGACACCACCAAGCTGGTGAGTGGAGGGCTTGATGCTGGAAGGCTGGGAACGAGGGAAGGGGTGTCTGCTGTGCTGTGGGAGCCTCCGCTGCCACGGCTCAGGGCTTGGGTTCAAATCATGACTCTCTCGCTTCCACCTGTGCACCTTTATCTCTCTGGGCCTCAGTTTTCTCATCTGTAAACTGGGGATAATAATAGAGCTTACCTGCATACGTTTGGTGTGACAGTTAAATGAGAGTGAAGGCAGGGATTTTTGTCTTTCTTGTTCTCGGCTCTATTTCCAGCACCCAGCACTGTGCCTGGCACACAGAAGCCACTTGATACCTAGAGCTGCTGTTGCTGTTGTTTCTGTTAATGGCGAGGCCTAACTCTTGTGGGGTATGACGCCCAGGACCCAGCAGGGATGGGGTGGGAGGTGGGGCATGCTCACACATGGCCACAGGCCCACGCTGGTGTGTGGAACCTGGGGGTGGGGGGCAGGGCCTGGCCCAAGGACATGGGTAAGGCTGGTATGTGTTCCCCCAAGTGTTTGTATGCACGTGTGGCCACCTGTGCGTATAAGCACAAACAGTGCTCACAGCCAGAGCTCTAGGCTCTTGGATAGTGACTTCGAAAACACAAGCCACCCCGCCCTTTGTGTGTTTCTTTTAAGAAATGTCTCCACCCCGCTTTGTCCCATAGCTCTTAATAATGAGGCAAGGAGGGAACAGGGAGGCGGCCCAGGATTGTGCCTGACCTCACTTTTTACAGAAGGGGAAACTGAGGCCCTCAGTGAGTCAATGATCAGCTGAGGACAGGGCTTCCTTTTCTGGCTGCTTCCACATGGGATTTTGTCCGTTTTCAAAGGGTCACCCCTTGAAGCTTGGCATAGGATGGGAATCCAAGCAGTACTGGGTGAGGGGTTGACGTGTTGTAACTATTTCCGTATCTGTGGCCTGAACACAAGTGGGGGTGTTGTATTCCTTGTTGCCATGGAAACAGGGCCCTGGGGGTAGGCACCTGGACTGCTATTCTCTGAACTGGCGCTGGTTAGGGTAGATTCAAACTGCAGGTCGAAGTGAGGGTCCTAGAGGTCCGGACCACCTCCTCCTGGCTCAGGAAGAGTTAGGGGCCACCCATCGGCACATGAGGACTCTGCCAGCTCTGATCACTTGAGACTTTTATCTGGAACTCAGTGCCTCCGACGGAGTATAGCTCAGCCTGCGGAGCCTCCCCCTCCGCAGCCCCCCGTGGCGCCTCCTCTCCAGTACAGCGTGACTCAGTCGAACACTTCGTGCACCAGCCGGGAGCCACACTCCTGGTACATGGCCCGGGTTATCCAGCGGCACTGAAAGGAGCGCAGCGAGGCCACCATGGAGCCGCCTGTCCATACTGCTGTGCCACGCCCAGGCGCCGCCACCAGGCACGGCCTCAGCGCCCCGTAGCCGTGCCTCCGGCACTGCGCCTCCAGCTCCATTTCCAGGCGCTTGGTGAAGCCAGGGAAGAGTGTGGAGCCACCGGCCAGCACCACGGTGTCAGCCAGCCGCTTCCGGAGCGTTGCGGGGACCTTCTGCAGTGCCCGGAAGACCAGTGCGGGCAGGCCCGGCCTGGCCTGGCCTAGCAGACTCGGCTGGAAGATGGGTTCTGGGCAGCGGAAGCGCTCGCTGCTGAGACAGACGGAGCACCCATTGCCTAAGCAGAAACTGACCGGATGGTGGCAGTCAGGGTTATGAAGGTCCCCCTCAAAGTCCAGTGACACATAGCAGCAGCGTTTCTTGAGCTGTGTGATGGCCTTGCGGGGCAGGGCCTGCAGCTGTAGGTGGGGGCATGCTGCCACCAGCAGGTCCCGCAGGTAGCGTGACAGGGTGCTGCCTGCCACGTCCAGCCGGAACGTGGCCTCGTGCCACGCGTGGCCCGCATAGATGGGCGTGGCATGGCACACGCCCGCGCCTGCCTCCACGGCCAGCCCGCTGAACGCGCCAGTGGAGCAGAGCGCCAACAACGCTGTGCTGGCCATGTGGCACGCGGGCACTGCCAAGGTCTCGAACAGCAGCTCGGCTATCCTGTCGCGGCCTGCCGGCGGCGCCGATGGCGAATCACTCACTAGCACGGGCCACTGCTCCGGGCACACCCGCAGGCCGCCCACCAGCAGGCGCTCCCACAGCCTCTCCAGCGCCTCCCAGTCCACCACCACGCCGTGCTTGATGGGGTGCGCCCGCGCGACGCCACCCATCAGCTCGCCGCCCGGTGCCCCCGGCGGCACCGGCCGGTCCCAGCGGGGCACCAGGCTGGAGCTCTTCAGCACCAGGCGCGGCTGGTGCTCGCCCGCGAAGCCCGCCTTGATGAAGCCCGAGCCCTGGTCTATGACCACCGCCACGCGGCCCAGCGAGGGCGGCCGACGGACCCGCCTGCCTCCAGACACCGATGCCACCGTGGCTTTCTGGGCTCCGCCCCGCCCTGTGCCTGAGGCTCCGCCCGCCTTTCAGCTCTTGGCTCTGGCCCCAGGCCTAAGTCCCGGCCTTTCTGGCCACAGAACTAGCGCGCTCAATTCTTGGCTGCAGCCTCTGGTCTGGAGCTCCCGCTCTTCCCGTCAGACTGGACGTCCCTTTTCAGCTCTTGGCTCCGCCCACGGGCCTGAGGCCCCACCCCCGGTGCAAGGGTCAGTCTCCCGCTCTTGGCGGGCTTCAGCCGCTTCAGACCTTCTTTGCCCTCCTGTGGCTCCAGACTCAAGACTCCACCTTGCACCAGACCCAACTGAGGACCCACCTCCGCTGCGCGGCCCACTCATTCAGCCCTGGCGGAGGTGGATGATGAGAGGGCCACATCAAATCCTAAATAAGGAGAAGCTGCGCAGAGCAGCAGAACTCTAACAATGAAGGGGCCTTGTGGCAATGTTCTGGGGACATATATCCTCCCGTGGGGACCCAGGAGTCCAGCCCAGTCCTTGAGCCCCAGGCGGTCTCCTGGCACCTCTCTCCTGGCCTTAAATCTTTCCTGGTTGTGTTGGTGGAACGGGGTGGTCAGAGAAGGAAGGAAAAGAACTTGGATTGGACTCATTGTGACCTCAGTCCTCAGTACCTGCTGTGCTTCCTTCCCCACAGCCCTCTCCATCCATGAAAACTCCCTGGACACATCTACTCTCCTGGGACAAGGCCAAGAGCAGTGATTTTGGCATTGGGGTATCTGGCCTCAGCTGCACAACCAATCTGATTCCCTCCCCAAACCACTTCAGATTATCTGATGTATTCTGGCTAGATGTACAGCTAACCACCCTCCCCCTTCCCTGCCCCAATCCAGTGCTGACGAGAAAGCTCTTAATCACAGATCTACAGCCACTCTGAGGACCTCTGTGTTCAGCCCTGAGGGGCCCAGACAGTCCACATAGGGACCCTACCTTCAGGGGCTTCCATGTATGGACTCTTGTGGATCTGAATTTGTGACTCAGTTCTGAAGACGACGACTCATTGTGTGCCCCTGAGCAAGTTCTAATTTCTCTCTGGGCTCAGTTTCTTCCTCCAAAAGGTAGTTCTAATCCTCATACAGGAAATTTCCTAGGCCACTTGTCTCTGCAGAGTCTATTCTCTTTAGGACCATTTTGGTTTCAAGTAGGAGAGCTACTCAGGTGAACTTAAGCTAAAATAGGGATTTTATTACAAGGATATGTCATATATATATTTTTAAGATTTTATTTATCTGACAGGGAGAGACACAGCGAGAGAGGGAACACAAGCAGGGGGTGTGGAGAGGGAGGAGCAGGGAGCCCGATGGGGGGCTCAATCCCAGGACCCCAGGATCATGACCTGAGCCGAAGGCAGACGCTTAATGACTGAGCCACCCAGGCGCCCCAAGGATCTTGTATGTCTTATGGATACCAAGGGCAAAGATGAAATCAGGTTTCGGGAACAGACTGGAAGTAGGGCCTGACTACAGGATGTGTACTGTCTGCATTATTTTTTTTATTCTTCCAAAGACTGGCTTAAGCCCATGCATGTTTATGTAGCAGTCTCTCACAGCTCCTGAATTACAGTCCCAGGGAAGAGGCTGGTAAGACCAGCCTGGGCCAATCACGTATGGCCAGGATGTGTGGCCATATTGAGGAACATGGTTACCATGATTGTGACCACATGGATGGTAGGAAAAGTTTGTTCTTACAAGCATTTGGAGAGATGCTATGGGTCATGCAACCTCCAGCCTGATGCAGGGGGATATGGAAGGGATATCGATTGTGTTGACACTAACGAAAGTGCATCTTCAGCAGAAGCTGGGCCTATGTCTTTAATAAGCTGGGACCTTCACCCCTGCTGCATCTGCCCCCTTTGGGACTTTCTGAGGCAGCCACAAGTAGAAGGCTGGCTACAGTTCCGGTAGAGCTGGGGCAGCACTTAGGTCTGGAGCTGGGTTTGGGACCCAGGAGAATGAGAACAAGCAGCTGGATCCTTCTCACAGAAAGCATGCCGGCCCCTCCTGGGTGAGGGAGGGAGGTGAACCTTGCACTGGAGAGCACAGTGGTGATATGGCTAGAGCAGGGTTGAGGAGTCACTCAGAAGCCCTAGAGGGAGAGACTGAGGCTGGGGGCTGGGCCTGCACATGACAACAGTAAGTTTGGGCATTTCCCTGTGGGCCATGGAGAACCGGTGGGGGCTTATGAGGAGAGTGAACTGTCCTACAGCTAGCTAAGTAGTTTGGAAGAAGTCTCTGGCTGCAATGTGGGTAAAGGGATGGCACAGGGTAGGTTGGGAGACAGACAAGTGACTGAGGTGACCTGGGGGTTACCAAGCGCATTGGGGCAGGAGTGAGGGATCAGAGGCCCACAGAGCCCAGCCTCTCCACCTGGGTGCTCTCACGGACAGACTGTGAGTCCCAGGCCCCAGCCCTGCTGATTGTGGGGCCTTCTCAGTTCTTTCCAGGGTGGTGGCTGTTTGCCTGGAACCCTCCCCGTGCCTAAGGACTTGTGAATGTTGGGGACATTTGGAGATGTTAGGCTTCTGTGGGAAGCAGGCCCCTCCTCCTAGCTTGGCCAAGCCGGGGTTTGCCCAAACTCACCTCCCTTGGGCCTGCAGACCTTGAAGGTTCTGACCAGGGCCTGGAGTTGCGGGGAGGAGGGAAATAGCTTCCCTCCACTGTGGCTGGGTGCCCCTCCCCAGCTCAGGGTGGGGGTTCTGTCGCTTCGGTCACAAGGAGAAGGCACCAACAGTTTTGGCTCCAGGCCGTGGCCGTTGCTCTGCCATCAATACTCCCATTTCATCCCTGTCTCGCTCTGGGCCTGTTTCCCCCACCCAGCTCCGTGTTGCGCCGCCTCGGACAGAGCTAGCGGGCGCCCGGGTTGCTATGCGCTCTTTATTGGGCCGGGGGCCGCGGACCGGGCCGGGCGCTCAGGGCCGCGGGCGAGGGCAGCGGCGCCGCTTCCGCGGCTGCTCCTCGGCGGGGTCGGCATCGCGGTCCACCTCGCTCTCGCTCAGCAGGCGCGCATACAGCCGCTGCCAGCCCGGCGCCACCGTGGCTCCGCCCCCCGCTCCGGCCCCGCCCCCGGGCGCGCCCGCCGCGCAGCGCCCCTCCTCCTGCAGCCGCGCGTCCAGCAGCAGCAGCAGGACCAAGATCTTCTTCATCTCGCGCGCGCGTACGCCCTCGCGCCGATCAGCGCCGTCGCCCGCTCCTCGCAGCATGGGCGCCGCCGCCGGGGAGCCCACCGGGCCGCCCGGCGCGTCCTCGCCTGGTCGCCCAGGCCGCGCGCCGGGGCCCGCCGCCACCTCAGCTAGCTGCTGCCGCTTGTCCAAGGGGAAAAGCAGCACGATCTTGGCCTGGGGAAAGAGCGCACCGCGTCTTCTTGCTGAGGATCCTTACCCACCAGGTCCTGTCTCCTGGGACTCCGTTCCCTTTACGTTTCCAGGGGGCGGGAGTGGGTCTCCCCCAGTCCCATCGCCCAGGACCCCTGCCTTCCCTCTGGAAACCCTTACCCACCCTAGGTTGACCTCCCGAGACCTTGCACCGTCGACGTATATGGGATTCTTTGCCTGCCCTCCTAGCGTTGGTGCTGGGACTCTAACCCACCCCAGAAGAATAGCACATTTTGTGGCTAGAAGCTGGAAAGGGAGCATAAGAGAACAACACCCTGTGCCCATTGCCTCTGTGGTTCCTTGCTGAGCCCTCTCTACCCGTCTGTTAGAGTTGGGAGAATCCCTTCCTGCCCACCCTCCTGGACTCCCAAGTCTCCTGGTTTCTTGAATCCCTGCCCTCCCTTCTGGGCTCTTAGGACCCAACCACATCCACGTAGATTCCTGGGACCCTCATCCTCAGGAGGGGTTATCCAAGCCTTTCTATGGCCCTCGGACTTATGCCCACAAGGCCTAGACTCCCAGCATTCCCTCTTGCCCACCTGTTCAAGTACCCCTGACTCCCACCTACCCCCAGCACCCTGGCACTCACGCTTGGCTTCTTCCGCTTGAGGTGGCTGAAGAACTGCTGTTTCCGCCCAGCCTTGTCCATATCAGGCGGCCTCTCCTTGCAGGCCTGCTTGGGCACTTTGGTCCTCTTGTGAGAACTGTTGTTTCCCATGGCAGGGCTGGTCACCACTGGGGGCCACAGCCCATACTGCCTCTGCCCTGCCTTCTGGCTGGGCGGGGCGGGGGGGGCCCTGGCCCTGCTCTGTCCCGTGGAGGCCACATTGTGACCTCATGGGTAAAACTCACCAGCTCCAGACTCAAAAGCTCCTCCTCCCAGAACCCACAGGCACATCTTGGCTCGGTTTACTCTGTGATTTGTGGCTTTGGTTTCTCAACTATAAAACTGGGCTAATAATCACGAATGAGGCAATGCTTGTAAGGTGCTTAGTGTTGAGTAGAGAGGAATTTTTGTGGTCTGGGTTTGAATTCTGACTCTGCCACTAACAGTTGTGTGATCCTGGCCAAGGTAATCAACTGCTCTAGGCTTCAGTATTCTCACCCGCAAAATGGGGCCAATTATGGTTCCTGTAAATTGCTATGAGGATTAAATGAAATTCTGCTTTGAACATGGCCTGGCAAAGAGGGGGTACTGTTATGTTAGCCAGGTTTTTTGGTTGCAAGTAACGGAGACTGATTGATCGTCTTAAGTGCTCAAAAGGGAATTTATTGGAAGGATTTCAGGGAGCTCAGAGCGTGGCCAGGAAGTCTGGAGACCAGGCTTGGAGAGACAGGACAGAGGCCATCGGCTCAAGTGTGAGGACTCAGCCCCCATTCTGTTCCTGCCTCCCAGCTCATAAGCCTGGCCCAGCAGGGCTCATTTGATGGCTGAGCTGAGGCAGGTCATGGACAGGAGATGAAGCCCCCTATGGATGGTGCCTCTGGAGCCCCTCGTGGAGAGTGGGCAAGCCCCTGGCTGGACCACGGGTCCTCAGGACTCCCATCCTGTTCTGTGTCCTGTGTAGGAATTAACTCATTGAAGTTTTTCAACAGCTCAGTGAGATGGCTGCTATCATCCCTGTTTTCTAGGTGAGGAAACTGAGGCACAAGGAGGCGAAGGTAGTTGGAGAGTCTCTGAGCATCCCACATGAGCAGCATAGGGCCTGGCATATGTTGGCCTTGTCTTTCTGCCCACGATGGGAGGGGCTGAGTGGAGGCTAGTGATGTAGGGATCAGTGCTGGTGTGTGTGTAAGGACAGGGACCTGGCTGGCTGGCTTGTATCTGCAGCTCCTAGGAGAAGGTAAAAGTTTGTTGCATGGATGAGTGAATAAATGAATGCATGCATAGATTATGAGTTTAGGGCCAGCTGGTGAGTATGGGGCCACATCACACCATCATCTTGCCTCATGTGTCAAAACTGGCCTTTGGATGCCGTGTGACCTGCCCTACCCCTCACCTGCCTACCTGTACGTGGGGCCACACTGGCTGAAGGTGGCGTCCCAACAGGGAAGGGGCCTTGGGGCCCAGAAAATGGCAGATGCCTCCCTGTTAAGTTGGCCTCACACCTCCCAGGAAGGAAAGCCAGGCAGACGAGGAGGGTCCAGGCCCGGCTCCCAGTCCCAGCACTGTTCTGCTCCCGTTGCATGCTCTCTGCTCTTCATGCTGTCTCCGTTGCTTTGATGGGCAAGGGGTAGGTGGCAGGGCAGTGGCTCCCCGTTCAGAAATAATATGCTTGAGACCAGGAAATGTTAATCATGTCCCTTCTGCCCCCAGGAGTATGAGCGGGCCTCCAAGGTGGGCCAGTTTGTGACGCGCTTCCTCCTGCGGGAGACGGTGAGCCAGCTACAAGCCCTGCAGAGCTCGTTGGAAGGGGCATCAGATACCCTGGAGGCCCAGGCCCGGGGCCCACGGTATGTGAGGTGCCCTGCTGGTCGCCGTCGCCACATTCCAGGGCCCTCCGCTTCCATCACATTCCGTAGCTCCAGTATCCCAGAGCTCACATTCTTGTTGGCAGGGAGGCCAAGAAGGGGTGAGAGGGGGTGGCTGGCTTTGAGGCTGGGTCTCAATGTCCCCGGAAGCCTGTTTTGCCCCACCCAGGCCTGGCCCTGTTCTGGGGCCCCAGTCCTTGGCCTGTGGGTCTGGGAGCAGCCGGTCGACCTTCCACTTCCCTAGGTCAGACGAAGACAGTGTGGGGGTGCAGAGCAGGCCCCACGGCAGTCGGCGGGTAGGGCGCAGGGCCCTGCGGAGCATCGGTCGGTCACCCACCTGGTCTCCTGGCTCCTCCGCCTCAGACACAGGTGGGCCTGTGGCAGCGCGGGAGGTCTGGCTGAGGAGGGTGCCGGGCGGGCGCAGTGCCCACCCCTCCGCTGTCCCTGAGAGGCTTCCCCACGTGCGGGGCCCGTGCCGGACTTCCCTGCCATGGGTCTCCCACCCCAGGGCAGAGCTCGGGAGCTGAGATGCGGTGGCGGCTCCAGGTCAACCGTCTCCAGGAGCTCATCGACCAGCTCGAATGTAAGGTGAGGGTCATGTGGCCAGCGCCCCAAGGGGGAGGACCTTCCTGGAATCTGTCTGAGCCAGACACGGTGGGGGCCCTGCCCACACTCTGCGTCCCTCACAGGCCCCCAGGCTGGAACCTCTGCACGAAGAGGAGCTTACCAAGGGGCCTGACTCGGTAAGTCCAGGAGAGGGCCAGGCAACTGGGCATCGTGCCAGGAGGAGGTGCTCATTAAGTGAGGGGACTCACGGGCCTGCTGCCCACTTGGCCTCTGGGTTATACAGATGCCCTTTTCCCAGGCTGGTCCAGCCCTCGTCCCCCAGGCCTGGCAGCAGGCGCCGGGCCCCGGTCCTTGCTGTGGGACCGTGTATAAGTCCCGGCCCCTCTCTGGGCATTAGTCTCCCTCATCTGCATCCCTGAAAGCTGGTCTGGGCAGCGTGGTTGGAGGTTGGAGGGAGGAAATGGTGGCATACTGCAGGAGAGAGGGACAGTGGCAGGATGGAGGCAGTGACCTTGGCCGTGGGGAGAGAAGGATGGAGTCAGGGATGCGGGGGGGGAGGGCGGGTTGGGCAGGAGCTTGATCTCATGGCAGGCCGGCGCTGGTGCAAGTCAGGCAGGGCGGGGTCTTCCTGAAGGCCACATCCCATCCCTCGCTGAGCCCTGCCTTACCCTGGCTGACCAGGCGGCCTCTCTTGCTAGCACATCCTCGTGGCCCAGAGGCAGGTGCAGGTGGCGGAGGAAGCCCTGCAGGATTTCCACCGTGCCCTGTGCTGCTACGTGGACTTCACAGGGGCCCAGAGCCATTGCCTGCAGTGAGTCCCCAGCTGGCTAGTGGGCTGGCCAAGGTCGGGGCGGGGGTGGTGAGTAGGGCAAAGTGCCAGGGGGCTGGGCATCCTGGGCCAGGGCTCCCATTAGACACCCCGGCTGGGTGGGCAGTGGTGGTGGTAGCCTGGGCTTGGCCTGGCCATCTCTTTGGTCCCACAGTGTGTCTGCCCAGAAGATGCTAGACAATGCCTCTTTCACCCTGTATGAGTTCTGGCAGGATGAGGCCTCCTGGAGAAGGTATGAATGGTGTCTGAAAACTAACGTTTACTGAGTACGGGCCCTGGAGTGAGTCAGGCCGCGATCCCAATCATCCGCTATCAGACCCTGGCTGTGTGACTTTGGGAGGGTTACTTATCCCCTCCGAGCCCCAGCGGTGTCCTTTCCAAAATGAGAGTGGTAAGAGGTCCACCCTCCTGTGAGCCAAATGAGACAGCAGATGAAGACCTGAACACAGCGCTGGGGGCAGGGTAGAGAGCAGGCACTCGGTGAACTGCGCCACAGCCTGTGCCAGGCACCCATGGGTTACACTTCATGTAATCCTCCGCGTGTCCTGCTACAGTACGCACTCTTGTCCCCAGTTCACAGGGGGAGCTGAGGCTCAGAGCCAGTAGGAGGCAGGACTGGGGAGGGAGTGGGGAGCTCTCAAACAGGTGGTCTTGCCCTCTGAGGGACCAGCTCCAGCCTCAGGTCACTCCATGAACCTCCCCAGGCACCAGCATTCTGCCTGTAGTAAGGCCTTCCAGCGCATCCTCATTGACTACCTTCGGGCTCCGGACACCCTCACCACTGTGTTCTTCCCAGGTATGCTGTGGCCCCCAACCCTCTCTACAGCCGTATGGAGTGGCAGTTGGGCCCCTGATGCCTTCTGATCCTCAACCTCTGACCCCTAGCCTCCTGGTGGATTATGAATAATAACTGAGCCTGACCTGCATAAGCCAAGGCCCTGGGGCCCTACCTGCCTCATTCTGGAGCTTCTGGACTGGTCAACTCAGCACCAAGACCAAGGACGTGGCCACTCTTAGACCTGGGGCTGGGCTCTCAGAGGTGCCCCCCGCCACCCCCCGCCCCCGCCCCGACCCAGCCGGTGGAGAGTCTCTCAGCCCAGGGATCAGGGACTGGGCTGCTTGCTTTCTGTTTATCAGTGTATTTTATTTGAATCTTTAGCCTCTGAGGCACTCTGGCCTCTGCCTGGCTCAGGAGGCTTGGATTCTGGTCCCCTCTGTCCCAGCCTTGTTGTGTGACACAGAGCAGGTTGCTTCCCTCTCTGGGTGGGCCTTGGGCTGTCTGGCTGCCTAGTGGGTACCCTGCTTTCTTCCTGCTGCCTTGGGGCCAGGCTTCTGCTCTTCCTCAACCAGCAGCAGAACCAGGGCTGATGCTCAGGGACACCACCCCCCCACCAAACCTCGACCCCTGAGGCTGGGCCGGATCCATCTGCAGTGTGGGGTAAGGACCTGGGTGTCCCCATCACCCTCCTGGGCTGGCAGGCTCCCAACTCTTCCAGCACCTTCCGCTGCACCAGAGCCTTCTGCAGGATCCTGGTTGGTTTGCATGTCATTTGCATATCATTTGCATGCTCATGCCCACCCGTACTCAGGGCACTATGGGAAGTCCCAAGGTGACCTTGCCAAGTAGCAATAATTTGGGCCCAGTGTCACCTGCTCCCCCCGAGATACCTCTGAGCCCCAGCCCAGGACCCCAGCCCAAAGGCAATAAAGGAAGTGGTCACCTCTGGTGGTGTGTCCTCTCTCTCCCTCGGCAAGAAGGCCAGGCTTTGGGGTTGGTTTGTATATCACACCAGCCACTCAGGGCTGGCAACCTTTATTTAGAAATCAGCTGTTTCTCATCTTGGGCTCCTGTTCTCTCCAGATGGTGGGAACTTCACAGCTAACCTGTTTCCTCAACTCAGGGCCCTCTCACCTCCACAAAACCTGGTTCTGGGGTCTTGCCTGGGAAAGGAAGTGAACTGGATCGGGTTTCTACTCTCAGCTCCCTGAAAATTGGCTGGCTATTCTAGCTTCACCATCACCCTCCTTGCCAACAGGGTGTGATCTGGAGTTGGGGGCACAGAGGCTTCTCAGGGTCCCAGACAGTGTGGCTGGATGCCTGTGAGAAGTCCTGTCCGCTGACAGAACCTTCCTCCCTGAGCCCCTTCCAGACTGGCTTTGTCACCACCCCTGTCACCTGACAGAACCAGGTGCGGAATGGCTAACGTGGTCCATCCAGGCACTGGGGGGACCTACTTTGAGCCATCTGGAGAGAAGGGATTGGGGGGCATGGAGAGAGGTGACTGACCTACGTGGCTCTAAAGGGGAGGCACATGGTACCACAAGGGCACGGGATGGCCTCTGACCTGGTCTGGAGGGTGTCGGGGTTGGGAGTTTTCAGGAAGGAAAACACACACTCAGGCTCTGAGGGGAGGAAAGTTTGCCTTGTGGAACTGAAGGAAGCCCAGCAGTGGTTTGAGGCTGGGGCAGGGCCAGTGGGCGGAGGCTGGTGCAGGGCAACAGTGGGCTGAGGCTGGGGCAGGGCGACAGTGGGCTGAGGCGAGGGTGAGGAGGCAGCAGGGCCTCAAATGTGCTTCATCCCGAGGAAGCTGTGGTGGGTTTTAAGCCAGCAGTGAGCGGCCAGTGGGCTAAGTGACAGTTCACCAATGTTCTTGAATGACCTGGTGGTGCCAAGAAAACGACTCAGATGGCACCAGCTCAGGGTGGACGTCCTGGTCTGGGACTCTAGGCAGGGTCTTCCCTGGGGTTTCTCCCTAGTGACCCCCACAGGAGTTCAGACTTGGGGGGGTCACAGACCTGCTCCCCCAGCACAGGGGTCGCTGGTGGTTTGCTGGCCAGCACCGTGCCAGGCTGTGCTCAGGCCACCCCTCTCCCCAGACTCGTGGCAGCTCCTAAAAGGTGCAGCCAGCACAGTGGCACACAGCTCTGGGTGGGCGGTGAGGAGGGCTCAGTGTCCTGGTTAGAGAAGAAGCCCTCCCAGGAGGAAATAATCCTGCTTTCTGCCCTGTGTTCTGATTGCTTCTGTTGTTTCCTCCATAAATACAGTGACAGCAAACCCTCAAAACTAAAACCTTCCCATTGGTATCTTTGAACAAAGATGCGGAAATCCCCAGGCTGTCAGCTCTGGAAGGGAGTGCCTCCAGAGCCTTTGTTCCCTGGCCTGCCTCACTGCGGAGTTAACACCTTTTTTTTTTTTTAAGACGGGCAGTGTCCTCCCTCCCTTCCTGAAGCTCGGAGGAGCTGGGGAGGGTACTGCAGGGGGAGGGGAGTGCGGTCAGCGCCGGGATGTGGCCCCTGGGAGGGTGTCCTGGGCTCGAGCTGTGAAAGCCCAGTCCAGTCGGGGTGTGGACAGCTGAGGGGTGGCTGGGGTGCAGAGGGAGCGGAAGGCGGACCCTGAAGTGTAAGGGATTGGAGGTGAGCCAGGACGCGGGGCCACAGGGAATTTGCGTGATGTCTTGCAAGTAACGAGGAGCCAGGAAGCTGTCAGGGGAGCGCTGGGGGTAGGGGTGGGGGTGGAGGTGAGAGCAAAGTTTTCAGCGGGGCTGGGGGGGCACAGAGGCGGTGGCCAGGCCTTTACGTTGTGTTTACTGAACTCCACCTTCATCTCCATCTTGTGTTCACCCTAACCCCCAGCTCGTGGCCACCATCACCTCTGGCCTAGGAGACTGGCAGCCTCTTCACTGGGCTTCCCATCTCTAGTCCACCAACCCCCGCCCAGTCTATTCCCATAACGGAACAGACAAGGGGCTTTCAAAACACTGCCACGGGGACCACAGGAGTCTGCTAAAACCCTTCAATGGTACCACACTGCCTTCAGCATCAAGGTCAAGTTTGAGTTCTTGAATTGGCATTCAAGGCCCTGAGCTATCAGCCCCACTCCCGGTGTGTACAGCCTCCACTCCCTAAAATACCCACCAGCTGAGCTGGGCTAGGGCAGCCTCAGTCACTCCCTCGTGGCCTCCCCCATGGCTTCCTCCCCCTCCACCCCCCCGCCACACACCTCCTCAGCCTTGAAGTAGCAGGTCAAAGACATCAGGTTTAGGTCACCTTTCCAGGCCTCACCCTCCATGCCCTGCTCTTGGTGGCTCTTCAGCTCATTTCAGCAGCCACTGGGCACCTGTTTTGTGGCAGGTGCTGGGGACAGTGAAGTGTCCTGAGCTGGTAACAGCACCCAGTTCAAGGGCAGGCAGAGTACAGATGCTGGGAGAACTTGTAGTTCCTTCCACCAGCTACCACCCCCTCACCCTCACCCACTCCTTGCACCTGCCTCCTCACTTTCCTCCCATCTGTGCCAGTGACTCACCTGCACACATTTAAACCTATCCTGGGGACTGGCCCAGTGCCAGGCCAGGTGCACACAGTCTAAATGGCTGCCACTGCAGTCTAACTCTTAGAGGGCAACACATACACGAAATCTCCTTAACACAGCCTCTGATGGGTCAAAACAAACGAACTGAGAATTAGGTGGGCCTTCAGAAAGTTATTCTCTCTCTATATATCCTTTTTTAAAGCTCTCCACGCAACATGGGGCTTGAACTCATAACCCCAAGAGCAAGAGTCGCATGCTCTACCAAGTGAGCCAGCCAGGTGCCCCTAGGAAGTTATTCTCAAAACAAATATGTAAGCAGGACACCATGCTTCAGGCAGGATACTGAAACAAAGATGAATCCTCAAGGAAATCACATATTGGCAGAAGCAGCAGCAGACTATGAGAACAGCTTCGGTTTACAAAGGCTTCCTAAGCGCCAGGCCTTGTGCTGGGACAACGCCCATATGATCACATTTCACCTCACAACAACCTAATGGTGTAGGCATCGTTAGCACTCCCAATTTATGGATGAAGAAACAAGCTCAGCGAGCAAGTACTTTGCTCCAAGTCGCACAGCTGACTATTCCCGGGCACCAACAGCTGCTTGCTATCAAGCATGACCACCACCGAGGGGTATCTCGAGCATCCTCTAGTAATGGAAGCCAGCCCAGGGCTGGAAGACAATGGCAGCTGTAACAAAGGAAGAAAGGCCAAACCCTGGGGCTGCAGGATGGCAGCTGGGGCAGCAAGGAAGAGCCATGGGTGTACAGAGGTGGAGGGTGATCTGGAAGGGGCTATACAGGGCCCAGCCACCAGAAGGTGGTGGGGTTGTCCTCTTTGTTTCTGGAACTCCCCAGGAGGCACCCAGATAATGTTAGCTGAACTCATGGGGCAGAAAGGCAGCTTCGGAAAAGGTTGGTGCAAGGGGGAGAGGAAAAGTTGCTGGGGTGTGCACCCTGGATAGGAATCTGCTTGCAGGCTGGAGGCACCAGAGGAGAGGGAGCAAGTCTGGCTCTTTCCACAAGAGGGCGCCCGGCACCAGGCAATGACGCTGTACTGGGGCATGGGGTGAGGGGCGGGTGGGTGGTTGTGGGTTCCCCCAACCTCTAGGGAGGGAGGACAGCTGAAGAGGGGGTACACCCAACTCAGGACCCTGAAATTCCAGCAGGAAGAAAGCACAGACAGGCCAGAGGAGTTCAGACCGCTGCGTATGCTCATTTGGAGACTGTGCTGTCACCTCAGGCCAATTATTTCCCTTTATACTGAGAAACACGTCAGTAGTCTCCTTGACTCCATACTTTTGTAAAATTTGAAAGGGCTCTCCACTTGAAACCTACCTTCCAGAAGGAACAACTCTTCCCTATTTTCCATCTCCTAGTCTAGGCTTCACTCATTTTCAGATGCATCTGCTATGCTGGTCATCGGTGTACTGAGAATTTCAATGATTGTCCGCTCCAGAATTCGATTTTCAAATCTGCCTGCTTATTTAAACCATCTTTAGAGGTTTCGTAGTTACGTTCTGTACCTGATCCTAGTATCTGAAGTCCCAGGGGTCTAAATCAATTGTTTGCTGTTCCTGCTGACTCTTGCTGATAGTGGCTCATTTCCTGGGATGTTTAGTAATTTGGGGGGACACTTTATAATTGACATATCAGTATTTTTGATATTTTGATTTTTCTCTAGAGGATTTGCATGTTTGCTTCTGCCAGACACCAGGAGA